GAGTGAGTGAGTGAGTGAGTGAGTGAGTGAGTGAGTGAGTGAGTGAGCGAGCGAGCGAGCGAGCGAGTGAGTGAGTGAGCGAGTGACTGAGTGAGTGAGTGAATGAACTGCCTCAACTTGTGTGGAGCGCAACAAACTTTTTCTGCTTTCCTTCTTTAAACACAAACTTTACTTGGACTCCACTGGTTCACAGAGCTTTGATTTTTATTCTTCCTTGAAGTTCACAGAAAAAAAGGCCCTGCTCGACCACAACCAGGCACAACAGAGCTCGGCCTTAACGTGTTTTCATGCTACTCTCCGCGGGCATTAGCACGAATCCTCGTGTCTTATATCTGCCAGTTCGCTGCATTACCTCTATGTACCTTCCTGTAGGCAAAGCGCCAGTCGGGAAGAGGGCTACGACAAAGTCGCTTGGACAACCAATGAGGAGACCCACCCTCCCTGGCTGCGTTTCCACCTGGGCATCTCTCGCTGGGCACTATATGACAGGAAAGATCCCACCCTGACCCAGCTGACTCATTATTTGGCAACCCAGCGGATCCTCGGAGCTGGTGAGCAAATAGGGAGGGGCAGGTGGGAGGTAACTTGACACAGAAGAGACAGGAAGGAACGGGGTGGTGGGATGGAATTAAAAGCAAATTAAGAGAAATGATAGGTCGGTGCCTAAGGAGGTTAAAGGATTACCAGCACCAATCTCTTTCTCATTGACCTTAATGTTCTCAAAAGCAACATTCTTCGGCATGAGATAATTATAATACCTGTTTTGGCCTTACTTAGAGCACTATGTTTTCTGTTTTAGACAGTGGATTACTAACCAAGACACCCCACAGGGCTGCATTTCTAAATACCCGAAGATTACACATGAAATCTGGACGAATCCTTACCCTTCTCATTCTAGTAACACAGGGATTTTCTTCCTCCACTCTCGTTTTAACTCTAATCCATTAATACAAACAAGATATTCTGTGAAGGACCCAGAGGCAAAATATTTCCCAAGGTTTTCTCCGGCTGACAACAATATTTGCCAAAGTTCAAATGTAGAACAATGAAATGGGCTTTTTCTTTTCTTTTCTTTTTTAAAGAAGAGGTTTAACATGTTACATTGATACAATGATAGATGCTAATTAGATGACAAATTGACACATGATAATCAACTCAACCCACTCTTTTCCTTTTGGTCACAATTTGAGGAAGCAAATAGGCAAAAAACAGGGAATATGTGTATTCTGAACTGATTTCTTGGAGTTCAGAATAGCAATGTACGTACTTACAGATTTACCACTATTTTATACTTTGTTTTAGGTTATAGATATATTTCTTTCTTGCTCTCTTAAACTTTCTAACATATAAACAGCTATAGGCAGAGAGCCAACATATGCATATTTCACATGCACAGGTAAAAAGGTCTTTATCGGACATCTCTCTTAATGTGTACGTTCCGTGTCATTTGAGGCCTCTTTTCAGCCTGATGCAGAATGAAAAATTTATTAAGATTGGTTTTTACATGAAGCATATAAAGCACCAAGCTTAGCCACAGGCTCATTTATTTCCCACTGCCATATTTTCATTTTCATGTTTAACTCTTTAATCGCCACAGTGTGTAGAGTCAGGAATATGAAATAATCTTTTGATAGGTACGTAAATATTGATATGCTTTAGTCCATAATTATAATCCATAATAATAATATGCTCATAAAAAGCATGGCAGAAGACAAATGGAGACAGTCCTGAAAGCACAAAATCAGACAACTTGTTTCAATATTGTTTTGAATGTTGAGGCTGGGATTTTTCCCTTTTGTTTGAAGCTTGACTGAGTTGCTGGAAAGACCAAATTCTCCGAAAGGAACAGCAGAGATGTTTCAAACGATTAGATTCTTATCGCCTAGCTTTTAGGCTGGAGAGGCAAAATACATGAGGGTCGCAAAAATATGAATAGGTTTTACATAAATAAAGCTTACTCCTGACTTTAAACAGATAAAATCCAGGTCACTGCAACATTGGGCAAGAGTGGAGACGAGATAATCAGTCATGTTGTGGGAGGATCACTTTATGTCTCATCTAAATGTAATCTGCATGTGTGCTAAGAGCTCCTTATTGTGGCATGTGGCGTTATTTGTGTGCTCTCTATATTTGCTTCATGTGTTTCCATTAGTTCAGAAGGGAGGAGGCACCCAGCTGAAACTGCTTTTATCATTCCCAAATTATGGACAAGCTCTGCTAAAACCCATGAGGTGAGACATTGAGTCAGTTCAATTCAGATCATTAAATATTTACAAAGGAAATCAACAAAAAGTCCTCCCAACCAATTTAAAGATACACTAGCTTTTATGATCCAGTGAATATAAACGTAATAGGTCGTTCTATTCTAATTGTGTTTATATCATTCCAGTTTGTAAAGAAATACCTCCCAAAGGACTTGAATCTTCCCTTTGGTTCAACCCCTTATCTTGGGCATATACTGGGAGACAGAGGGGAGAAAAACCTCCTGTCTGCCTCAAAAGACAACAAGTACCAAAAGACCAAATCAGGGGCACCTGCTTAGAAAGAGAAAAGAGCTCTAGGTCTAAACTGAAGGGCCGAGAAGGAGTCTGCCTCCTGAACTCAAACTGGCTGCTGATTCCATAACAGAAGAGTCAAATAACTGAAGTCTCTACCTCTTCTAACTGACTATTTCGATAATATTTTGGCGCAGCCAAATAATTATTAATAACAGTATTTTTCCAATCATGGAGGATTGCCTTCACCACTGCACTTACTAAAAACAATTTAACCCTTAGATATCCTGCTCAGCCATTTGGTAGAGCATATTTTTTACTGATTATATTTGGTCAAAAGATATGCTAAAGGAAGTGCACTTATCTAAACTGTGAAATTAAAGTTAGGCATGAGACGCCTAAATTAATAATGGGTTATGACATTTCTTTTCTTAGTTGCACACCATAAAATGTCATTCCAGCACTCAAAAAAGCATCGACTCTGCTTGTTAATGCTCCAAAGAAATGAAAAAGATGCAAATGAATATTTCTCTGTGTAGATGTTAAAGGGGTAAAAACGAGTCTGTTTGAGGTAAACCTCATAATTTGTCACATTTCTTTTGCAGGCAAGCCAGAGACGCTGAGACGGACGTAAACCTCTTTTACTTCTCAGACTTTGAGAGGCACAACGCGGAGATTGCGGCCTTCCACCTGGACAGGTACAGCTGATTATATCCACTGTCAGTGTGGGTCTGTCTGAGCAGAAGCTGTCCCCACGCTGTGCTCCGTAGCAAACTGTGCCAGCCACGGCGCTCTGCTAAATGCTAAATGCACCACAGCTCATCTAAAAGTTCCAGCAGCGCCCAAACAGCAAGTCAGGGAAAAACCTGACAGATGAAATACGTTAAGCCGGTGAGAGTTGTTGTGCTCTCAGCCAGTGGGTTATTTCCTTTTGTCCCGTTTGCAGGCACTTGAGCTGGCAACGAGCGGCAAGGGAGGAGTAAATCTCTTCACTGCAGGGGAATTATTTTGCTGGCTGGAAGAGGAGCTGCTTTAAAACCGCCGTCATCTGCAAGACTGATCGGTTTAATGATTCATTATTCTTAGACAAGAACAATGTGGAACAGGGGGGAAATGAAGACGTGCCAAATTTGGTTGTTTATGGGAAAAACAACAGCAGTGTCCCTTTAATACGACCTTATTGTTGGGCGTCATGCTGATAGTTTGGATCCAAAATGCCTCATAATTGACTTTTAACAAGGTATTCATCATATTTATTTATTTTTATCTGAGACCCATATTGATTGTGATCCAAACAGCACCTATTTATTGCTATCAGCTAGAAGAGCAGAGGCTTAAAGCATTAACTGAATCCTGAAATGACATCCCAGTGACTTTCAAATGTCTTTGACTGGGAATGGGACTCAAGTTCACTTGTTTGGCTTTACGGTTGTGTTTGCAGCTCCACCAACCCATCATCAAATTCCACCGCTGATGCCAGATCAGCAAAATGCACCAGGCGTTCTGTGACTTGTGGTTTTGTTCAGGTCTGTGGTATACCCTGCAGCAGGGTCCAAACAGCATGAATCATGTATACCTGGACCCTCTTTTTTTTAAAGTATTTAACATTTTTTGCTCTAAGACTTGGTGTCCGTAATCCAGCTGCACCATCGGAGCTGCTGAGTGACCCTCCGGCTCAACCGGTTTTTGATGCACGGCATCCTTCAGGCGCCATCCTGTGAAAAGACATTACCCTGATTAAATGAGGGTTTTGCTTGTTTTTCGAACAGCCTCTGCCTTTAGCTCTATTTATTGGCTTTTGATCCCCCCGCCCCCTGTCCTTTCCGTTGTCTCAGATTGTTGGGCTTCAACAGGATCCCTCCTGTGGTGGGCCGAATTATCAACGTCACCACGGAGATCAGGGAGGTTACCACCGACCACAGGCTGTCCAGGACCTTCTTCACCTCTCCCGGTATGCGTTCCCACGGCAGATTTCTGGTGGACCCCGATGGCTGCTTCTCTCCTCAGATCCGTTTCTGTCCCGCCTCCCTTTAGCCGGGAACGTGTGTTTCTACGGCCAGTGTGAATACTACTGTTCCACCGAGAACCCGGTGTGCGGGCGCCCCCACGAGCTGGAGGTTTCTCTGGCCACCATGCTGCCAGACCTCTCCCTGGCCCCTCGCAGGTCCTGGAGATCACCATGGAGACGTTCATACAGCCGCACCAAGCTGGCACAGTTAGTCGTCATCCCTTTATGGGTCGGGGTCTTACTGCTATCCACCTTTTTAAGTCATTAGGTCCGGTTCATGATAAAATGCACTGCACTAGAGGAAATCTTCTTTCTGTTGTGTCTACCAATAACAGATTGTAGATAGCTGTTAATGAATGTTCCCTGACCTCTAGTGGTGTGATGGAAAGACTACAACCAAACAATAAATGTGTACTTTAAACAGAGAGCAGCAACAGTACGTCCTCAGTATGAGGTAAAAATGGTCAGGTAGACAACAATTAAAGGACAAAAAACACAGTATATCATATCTGAATGACAACTGCGTTCTGTTGATGGATCCTTCAAACTTTCACTTTGACTTTGTGGTTAAAACTCCACTTCATTTCACTGTAAAGTCAAAACAGAAAAACAACAAGCAATACCAAAAGCGAACTGCCTCCGCTAGAGCTTCAGAAATAAACATGTTTCCAAAGTACAATGACCATGGGCATTAGCAGAACTAGATTAGAAAAGACTACCAGCCTTAAAAACTCACACTTTTTTTTGTCATAACTGTCTCTCTGCTCCATCGTTCCCAGGTGGGAGAAGGACCCGGGTTACTGTGACACGGTCAAACAGACGCCTCCTTACAACCGTGGCACCAGACTGGTGGACGTCATAGACATGGCCGTGCTGGACTTCCTCATGGGTCAGTCAAACGCCACCATTTTAAACATAATGTGTCCTCTAATCATCCCTTAAGTACAGGGATTTTTTTTTTTCACGCAAAGGTAATATGGACCGACACCACTACGAGACGTTTGAGACATTTGGAAATGAGACTTTTCTGCTGCACCTGGACAATGGACGGGCGTGAGTCACACAAACTCCATCTTCTATACATTTCCAGCCACTGTGATGAGATTTGTAATCCTCCCGTGTTGTTCAGCTTTGCGCGTCACTCCCGGGATGAGCTGTCCATTCTAGCACCGTTGGCTCAGTGTTGCAGGTAAAGGATGGAAAGCTTCAGGAACTGAACCACAACGTTTGGTAACTCTGTCTTTGGCTGCATAGGATCCGTCGCTCCACCCTCCTCCGCCTGCGTCTCCTGGCCCTCCCTGAGTTCCGCCTGAGTGAGGTCATGCGGGAATCGCTGGCTCAGGACCCTCTGGCCCGCGTAGCCCCGCTCCTCTCTGACCCGCAGCTGGCTGCTCTGGACCGCCGGCTCACCGCTGTCCTGCGAGTGGTGCAGGAATGCCGAGAAAAGCACAACAACGTGGTTTACAACGACTTGGAGAGCTCTGACCAGCACTATGACCGGCATCCTGACTGAGGAACGAGCAGCAAAATTAATGATAGATTTTGGAACTATTTCAGACTTCGTCAAATTTGAATGCTCTATCCTAAAAGCAAACCTGCAAGTTCAAATTGCTGAGGATCGTGATGGAGTCAAAGCGGGCATCACAGTTTTCTGTACTCGGCACTGCTGGATACCAAATCCTGTCCAACTGAACGGACAGATACTTTAATAATCCCTTAAGGAAAATTGTATGGTAGCAGAATAAAGTAAGCAAACAGTGTTCATCATCTGTTAAGAGAGTTATCTCCGTTAGGTTGAGTGACCTCCCGGTTAGGTTGAGTGACCTGACGCTCTTTGTTTCGTCAGAGCTGAAGAAGCCTCTGGCTGACGACACTCTGTGTTTGACAACCCCTGTACTAGTGGTGATAATCTTCACAAAACATCCAGGCTTCCTTTTTTAAAGTTTGTTCCATTTCTTTGTGTAATTCTTGTTACCCAAAAAGACGATACAGACACAAGCGACCATGCCAGTCACACAGTTTTTATTAAATCTCTTTTAATTGTTCAAAACCACTCAGGCAATTTCGAGCAAAGCGTCCGATCAGCATACTCTACCTCATTAATACATCCTAAAGCCAAAATGGCAAAGTGTGCATCCAGCTGTATAGTTTCATAGCATCACACATCACCAGCAAAAACCAGCAGCATGAAAAAGCGTCCCCAACTGAACTTAGAACAGGCGCTCTAACTGCTCGTTTCTGCATTTTATCATTAACTAGAATTTGTCACGATGGGTTTTCACACTCTTAATCTGCAGCTGTCACATAAGTGCAGTCGTAAGAACAGTATAAAAGTTCTGAACTGCAGAGGAGCCGGAGCAGAAAGTATGAAAAAACTGATTTCCCCACCAAACTAAGGAGCAGCGCTCCTCTGATCTTCCCCCCTCTCGTGAATAATTCCTCTTATTCACTTTAAACTCAGTGCGCGTGTAGCTTAGGCATTTGGAAAGTCAAGGTGCTGTCACTCTCCTGATTTCACAAAGGTATCCTCGGAGGGCCTTGTGCTAAAGCTTTTAACAACCAGGATTCCTTCTATTTCTGACAATAAGTCACTCGAAAACACAATTCAGTGAGCAGGTATTCTTGAAGTGTTTGTACACTCTCTTTAATATTTACAAAGACAACATGTTTCTTTGATGAATAATAGCAGAGATCCATGACGAGCATGAAAAGTTTCACTTGAGGCAGTTTTCAGGACTTCAATTTGGGTTTTAGGCATTCTGCCCAAATGTGTTAAAAGGTGTCTGATTCATCTTCCCCTGCTTTGAGGTCCCCTCACCATCCTCACATCCACAGCTCGACCAACCAGCCGAATAGTGAGCAAATCTTAATTTAGCAGCCCGTGTGGATCAATGAGTCTTGGCAAACCATGACTCAGTCTCTGGTTAACTACTCCTCCATCCTCTGGCCTCTTTTGAGTGGTTTTGACCACAGCAAGCCCAGACTAACCAACTTATAGCAGCAATTGTGATGCAATGACCCATCTATCCATTTTTGTACCTGTTTATTCTACATAAATCTGTAGAGGGCGGGAGCCTATCCCAGCTGTCATTGGATGAGAAGTCCTCTTTAAAGGTTCCCAGTCCATCATACAGGAGGCTGCAGCCTCAACCAAAGAACGGTTAATGGTTAAAAATGTCCTGCTCATTAATTCATTGTATCCCGGACATCATGTTCAAGGACAGAATATTCATGTATCCTCCATTTAGAAAAAGCTTGCCTGAATTCTATTAATAATTTGGCCCTCGTAGTTAAAAAGCATGACATAAGTTACTGTGTTAAAACTTCTACCTCAGCCATGAGTTAATCCTGCATGTCACGTTATCTTGTAACAAATCTGCAGTGCATGCCTCGCAGAACAGAAATGAGAAGTTTAAAAAAGCTCATTTGCTTCAGGTTTTTTTTTCTCTATTGTCTGAGCACCTCAGTCCCAATTCTCTGAAGTCATCTATTTTTCACACCTCCATCTGAATTCTGCCCGTGGACCTGCTTCTGAGAGAGACGGTCACGGTGAATTTCTCCTCGCTCTCTCATCTTATCTGCCACCAGGGTGGCACATGTGCAGAACTACAGAGAGCGAGGAGAAAGTCACTTCCGGCGTGGCCCCTGGCCACGGAAGCTTGGAGGATCCTGCCTTTGAAAACACTTGACACGATGTCCACATCACAGGCTCCTCTGCTCTGTCAAACAGTGTCATGGAATCTGTGGAGTGAAACCAGTGAGGGCGAAAAAAATAAATCAGAAAAAAAACTCACGAAATTATTTATTTTTTTCTGCTTTAATTTGCAATGGCACAGAAGATAACATTCGCTTTCCAAACGTCACTCGGGGGAGTGACCGGTTGTTGTGACCTGGTTGAACAAGCAACGTTTAGATCAAACCAGGAAGAAGTCTAACCGAACTTTAATGTTTGCTGAGTGCGAGTGCTTGCTGGGGACTTTTGGGGTGGGTGTGGCTGATAGCAGACATATAACGCAGATTTAAATGCTGTAGTTTAAAGGGCTTCGCGTGCGACCTTCCGGTCTAAAGCCAGTGGGCGTTCACCCGGAAAAGCGGCCGGAGGAACTGGCGCTGACCGCCGATGAATCCGATGGACTTCCTGGAGCCCGAGGAGCTCCTGCGGTTTTTCCACTGCCGTAAAACCGAAATGTCGTGCATGGAGAAACCGCAAACCTTCCTCAGGCAGCTGAGGGATTACAACCTGATCCCGGAAGACAGATACAAGGTAACGACGCCCTCCTCTCTATTTACGTGGGCCGCGTTTGAATACGAATGGCGCCTCCGCGTGAGCGCGGGAACAGACAGCCGTGTGTTTGTGTTCTGCCGGAGCACAAAAAGTGTCGCAAACATATTACCGACTACGTCGTAGTTTTTTTTTTTAAAAGACACATTCACCAACTCGAGCAGGCTTATATTTAAGTTTTGCCTTAAAAAACAAAACAACACATTCTGCTGTTCTAGCAGGGCTGGGTTAATGCTTTTCAGGGACCAGGGCAACATCCAGGGGGCCCCCTTCCCCCAAAGGGGGAAACATCCATGGGGTCCTGGAAAATCCCTTTGATGTTTCCCTGAACCCCCCAAGGGGTTCCAAAGTAAGTATTTTTAATGAAATGACATATCTATGGTTGGGAACCTTTGTAAGTACATTGAATGTGTCTCCTTTTTATTTTTTGCAAGGCAGGGAGAGGGAATGATTTTTAAAAGGTTTTTAAAAATCATCCTCTATTTCTATTGAAAACCAATTGCCCATTGATGCATTTAATAGAGAGTTAAACACACAATAGTAGCTGTCATAGTGTAATGTTGCCTGCAGTCTATACAGGTCCAACATAAATGGGCTTTCCGATTTAGTTGAAAAAGTTTTGTGCACATGAACTCCACGTTCTCCACTCACAGCCAAACCATATTTGACTACAATATAAGCTCATACTTGAAAGCAAAAAAAAACTGATATGTTCAAATTTGGCTAAAATTAATAATTTTAGCATAGTATGCTATCACATGATTTATATAAATTACTGATTGTTTTCTTTTCTTTTACAACTATATTTTGTGTTGAAGTCTGTGGCTGTGCCCACTCTCTTTCTTTTCTTTCTTTGTTCCATACTTTAGGTTAACACAAACACGCCATGTGATACCACATTCCAATGTCATATAAATTAATTAGGACCCGGCTTGCTAGCCAATAGGACTTGGTTGTGTCCACTAAGTCCTCCTTTGAGGAGGCGGACCTAGCCAAGGAGATAATGCCCATCACCCCCAGATTTCGGGCCTCTAGGCCGACTGAGACCCTGGGAGAGAGGTTTTGTCTATGAAGAGCCCAGCGCTGAAACACTTTGCCTGTGACCCAATAAATGTCATTTTTTTACTCTTGATCTCTGGTTTATTCTCAGGTTTCTAACTAAAGAATCGGGTTAACAGACAGAAGGTCAAAACCAGTGTGTTACTCTAGCCACAGTTAATTGTTGAAATAAACATTTCCCACCCAAATCAAGATGTGAGGTATTTGTTGAAAAAATGCTTTTAAAAAGAGTGTGTCGAACCAGATGGGCAGCATCTTCCATCTGTTTCTTGAATAATGATTCTCATTGAGTTTTCAGGCAATGCAGTTTTCCATATGTAATTTGTCTGAATCCTATTGAACAAAAATAAGCCAGATATGACTCACTAGACTTAAATTACTATGTCAGCCATCCATCTTGGGCTCAGTCCATCTAATAGTTAGCAAAAAGTAACAGCATATAAAAACCACAGGACCAAGAAATTCTAAGGAAGCTAGTGTTAGCACGTGCTATCCAAACTATCATTACCAGACTGATTATTGAAAACCAATCATGGTCTAAATTGCTAATCTCCATCATACTTTTGTTTATGCAGAGGGTGAGTCGGATGAAGAGTAAAGAAAACATGAAGGCAGGCGTTTATGACATCCTGGATCGGCTGGAGAGAGAGCAATCTCAGCACATCAAAGTTTTCTGGACGTGCGTCTTTAAGGAGACTATCTTGCACGAATACCCGACCCTGAGGCAGCTGCGGGACAGTCTATTGGATGGTAAGACCTATTTACAGGCTACTGTTGTGTGAGGTTCCATTTACCTCTGAATACTTACCAAACAACCTGGCTAAAATGGCTCACTCATAGCTGGATTGAATAAAGATATCAATTGTTAGCTATGGCTGCATTAAACTAATTGGAAGAGGTAGGCAAAGATTTTTATCAGAATTATCAGGGTTAAAATAAAGGAAACAGGTATATGGATGAATTCTCAGCTGCAATAGAAATCTGAACAAGTTGGAATTCATTCAACAACAGCATATAACACCAGATCTTTCATTTTGAGTTTCTACTAGACTTGCTAAATAACTTTAATTTTGTCTGCAGGATCTTACCATTGTGACCTACGACTGGCTGAGAGGGTGGAGGAAGAGGAGGAGCAAGATGGAAGGGGGAGGTTGGCACTCTCAGAAGACAAGGAGAAGAAAGCAAAGTTTGAGATAAAGAAGAGGAAACGCAGAAATGTGAGCACTTCCAACGATGAGCAGGAGCAGCCAGGTCCATCTTCCCTCTTGAGTCCAGGTCAGAGGAAAAAGTCCAAGAAAATCCATTTTTGTAAGTCGCCTCCTTTCTGCTATACTTTTGTTGACATGTCCCACTACAGTTCCAGCTCTTTGCTGCCATTTCCTACTGCTCATCTGCAGGAAGGCAGCAGTCCCAACAGGCTAAGGACGTTTAGATCCACACAAAGTGTCTATTTTTAGCCAATTAGATTTTTTTAATCCCATGCATAGCCTTTTAAAAGTTGCTTTGCATGGCATTCTGGCAATGTTAAGGAGACGAGGCGTCTCCTTGAAGTAGTGTGGTAGAAAAAGGAAATCAAATGAGAGTAATTTGATTTGCATGTGTTACAATTAACAGTTGCAAACGTAAAAGACAATAAACAGGGTGTTTTCGTGCTTTGCTTTCTTTACCCAGCCTCCCCTTTAAAGAAGGGCGAGAAGGGGGACATTTGGACCTGGCCGATATATAAGTCACAGCTGCCCGTGACCTGTGGACAAATGAAGGGAACGCTTATTCGAGAAAAAATGGAGACAGGTTAGTAAAAACTCTTCTTAAAGCACCCCAGGAAGCTTCTGATGGAAACGGCAGCGCACTTCCGCCCTCTTTCTGGGACTTTGCATTGTCCACAGTTCTCTGGTGAAAACCAGTCGTTGAATTCCTCGTTCTCTGAACGTTTTTAGGGGACAGATGCATCCTGGCCGAGAAACAGTGGTTCAAGCCCAATGAATTCGAAAAGTTTTCAGGAAAGGGGAGCTGTAAAAACTGGAAGACCAGCATTCGATGCGGCGGCACTACCCTCGGAAAACTTATTAAGGTTGGAGGAAAAGCATTTGCACACCTCTGGGAATTCTCCGTGCCTTTTTAGCAAACCTCCCTCACGGTTGTGCTTCGTTTTTGTCTGTTTGTGGAAATGCCTTTCCAGGAGGGCCAACTGAAATCTGCAATATATAGGAGAAGGAAAGCGGTGAGAACAAACTGGTGAAAGTATTTCACTTGATTAGGTGTAGAATCTTTCACTCACAGACCATAACCTTCTTTTTCTTTCTGTCAGGTCAGGAAAACTCCTCCTTCTTCAAATGATTCCATCGCAGGTTTGTTGCACGGGTGCAAAACACTAGATTTAGAAACAATTGAAATACTGTAAACAGACCTCAGCCTGACATACCATAATAAGTCCATCTGATGGATCACGTTAAATATTTAAAGATAAGCCTCTGATCTTCTCATTTAAGGGAAGCTGCTACAGCAAATATTGACATCAGTCAACTCTTCTCTCTGTATTTTACAAAACAAACTTCTAGTCCTCACATGTGAGAAAAGGGATTTAAAAAATGCACAAGTGTTAGAAATTATGGCAAGAAGTAAATGAAAAAGTGTCGATGTTAGGTTGACGGTGCACAGGTAGCATATTTAAGTTTTTTTTTAATGTAGCATTCAAAATTGTTGTCTAATAGTTGGGTGATTTTTTTAACCACTCATTTTGTTTGCTAAACTCTGCCATTTTAGAGTCTGATTCGGAGGAAGAGCACGAAGTTCAGGTTTTATCAAATGGAGAAGAGAATCGGACAGATGAGACAGGTGCCAGTTTTCAAAGTGACTCTCGGCAAAAAAAAACATTTCATTCAAATAGAAGAGGAAAAAATGGCAGCTGGGTTTGTGTGCTTTTCTAAGAATTGTATTACTTTATGTAGAAGGAGAAGAAGGAGGGGAGACGGAAGAGGAGCAGCCAGAAGCCCGCTTCGACCATAATCAGATGGTGTTCGACGTAACATGTGGAGCTTTGTCTGGGACTTTATACAAGAAGCGATTTGTATCAGGTGACATAACAACAGAGGGAAGACGAGACTCGACTTGTGCAGAGAGGTGTGATGATTTCACTGAGATGTTCTGTGATGTGGCTTCGCCAACTAGGGCGTATCGGGAAGAGCATTCGCACTGACACCAGATGGATGAGTCCCATAGAGTTCGTGAAAGCAGCATCAGGCCAAACAGACGGGCCCTGGAGAAAAGACATCGAATATGATGGAAAACCTATCAGTGATCTCATTAAGGTAAAAAAAAAAAAACGACTGAGGTGCTTTCACAGTGCAGAACATGTTGTCATCTGAAACCTCTGATTGGTTTCCAGTTAACTGGGGTTAACTCTGACTTTGATGCTGCTGGTATGAGGTCGTGTTACTCTTTTAGTCCCCTTGTTGTCACCTCATTTTCTGGTTTTCTTCTTTTTCCCTGTCAGATATTGGTTGGTCAGAAAAAGTAAAAAAATGTAAGACTGAGGGAGGCAGGATGGTTAGCATCATTACCCTATAACCTGTGGGCTCTTTTCCCACTGTTAAAAAAAAAAAAACGCATGCTAGCTTAACTGAACCCTCCAAATTTCTCCTAGGAGTGAGTTTTAGTGGTTGTTTGTCTCTGTGTGGCCCTTGTCTTTCTTCTTTATTTCACGTCACTGCTATACTCTAACCACAGTAATGGAGAATAATGGATCTGATATCAGTACTGGGCTCATTACTACCAGAGTTGTGATTGCCTGGCCAGCCTGTGTGAGGCGGGATGCATGTTTGAGCCCAGCAGACAGGCGTTTTATTGGCTTTCACAGCATCATGGTTGTTTGACAATCTGCTAATTGCTGTAGATGAGGTCATGCTTCTTTGGGAATGACATTCAACACTGTTACACGCAGCTGATTTGAGCTAGTGTCAGTTATAATGTAAAAAAAATTAGTTTAGTTTAATAAATCATTGCAAGATGATGAATTGTTTTTTTTACCCCCCCCCCAGTGTTTGTCATTCCAGTAGCTAGGTTGGAGTCATTTGATCTAACTGTGTCATGGCTCTAAAAATTCCTGAGTGGAGTTCATGAGAGAGCTTCATAGGTGTCACTAAAATGCTTAGTTCTGAAACGAAGAGGAAAACGCTGTGAATCTATCTTTTTCAGGCAGACGTTTTGAAGATCCACTCTCTGCTATGCACGTGCGGACTGTGCAGTGGACAGTCTGAGGACCTGGTAAGTCTGCGGTCAGCCCGGTTTCAGAGGACCTGCTGAGCTGCTTTTCTTTTGGTTGTAGGAAAGCAGATAGTTTTCTATCGTTTCCAGAACACAACCCAATAATGTGCTCATTGCCCGAGCGCCACCTTTTAAAAACTCAACGGACCTCGCCACATGAATGCGAACGTCGTGTGATGTTTGTCTCGGCAGGAAAATGAGAGAAATGACGACGAGTGCTGCATCTGTAAAAGCGGTGGGGAGGAAGAGCTGGTTGTTTGCGACGAATGCCCAAGGTCTTTCCATCCCAAATGTCACCTGCCTCATGTGGAAGACGAGACATTAAGGTGGGCTTTGTAGGGACAGGACACGGCAATTTACTCTCTAAATATGTACGCATGTTAATGGAGAAGTTTTTGACCTTGTCAGCTTTAACTTGATCAAAGCTCTTTGATCAATTTCTTTTGCTGCAAATGGCAAAAGAAAAATAAAGCTTTTTTTTTTTCAAATCATGTGTAGAAGGATTTTCTTTATTAGTCTTCCAATTTTTTTCCTGGGAGGAAGAAGTCGCATTTTTATGCCTGCATTTTTACATTATCCATTTTCTTCCACTGAACGGGTTCCTAATCAGTGTGCGAGACCACGCCGTGTTAGGGTTTTGTGCTGGTTCTTTCTAAATTTAGTCGAAGGTCTTAACAAGCAATGTTCAGGGTTGATTTATTTTTTTCTTGAATAGACCTACGATTAGAGGAAATGTTTACGTCGAATTACTCTTGTACTCTACAATAGTCCTCTGTGTGTTTTGTGTATGCTTGCAAACAGGCCCGACCAAGCGTGGGCGTGCACATTCTGTATTTTCGACCAATATAAACAGTACCGATCTGGAGATGAGAGGAATATGGAAGAGGCCATGTGCCGTCCAGTTTCTTTGCACCTGCTGGTAAGCGTTAGTCTCTTTTCCTACCTGGTGATTTGTCCATCTAACATCAGTCACTCAGCTGTTATTCATCCCTCTCGTCTCACATCAACAGGAGTGCCAGTATCTCCTTCTGTTTCTGTTTAATGCTGACAACGAGCAGATATTTGCCACCAACCCTCAGCTTCATGTAAGTCTCTTTTTATTAATCATTGGAAGTTCCTATTTCATTCTAATTAGACAGTTCAAAGGGTTTCTTCATATAATCGGAAATGAATATACACCAACACATGTTTTGTATTTGATGCCTGCAGATAGATAATTACTCCAGTTATGTCAAGACCCCGATGTGGTTGGGCAAGGTTACCGACAGGCTGCAGGGGAAGGAGTACTCCAGTGTCAACCAGTTTATATCTGACATCCAGCTCATATTCACCAACTGTGCGTCATACAATAAGGTGAGAAAGCTTTCATGGTTGGAAATTTAAAACGTTTTTTCTATACAGCGTCCAGTGTGTTGAGCACACAAAAGAATGAAGTGTGTGTTTTTGAGAAATAAAATCACGGCACCATGTTCTTTTGCAGAAAAATCCAGAATTCCTGGCAATGGGCAAACGGTTGAAGCAGCTGTTTGAGGGAGAAGTTAAGATGGCCTTAAACATCTCTGAGTCCTCTGACATGTCGTGTTAAGTTCACAAACTGATCTTGGGACAAAATACCATAAGTGATCTCAAACAGCTGTCATAACGGTGGCAGTTTTGCAGTTCTGACACATGGCAGTATGCATTGAGACGACAGCAAAAAACTGAAAGTGTTTACCCATACTATAGATGGTTCTCCACATTGTGTTTTTGAGTAACATAATGTTTCAAATGTCAATGGTTCAAAAGTCCTTATTTCTTAATATTATGCTTTCAAGGAGCTAAGTATTGCGCAGGTGTATATATATATCTATCCATCCATCCATCCATTTTCCACCGCTTATCTGGGGTGTGTGTGTATATATCTATATATATATATATACACACCCACACACACGTGTTACAGTGGTCCGGAACTATTCTTATTAGTCTTTTACAGTTGATAGAATAACATTTCTGATGACATCAGGTGATTTCCAAAGACCTAATAACTGGACACTTGGCAGAATAAGTATCAGGTGTAAACAAAGTCCAAGTATAAATGCATTACTTATCTTTTTGGGTCAGCTATGGATTACCTTCCCATTGATTTTATGCTGCATGGCGTTTTCACACAAA